TCCCACTCTGGGTGCCTTGGGCCGCATCATTTTACACTTGTCTCCCGCTTGTCCCTCACACTCTGGGTTCCTTTGGCTGCATGAGTTTACACTTGTCTTCCACTTGTCTCCCACACTTGTCTTTCACTCTGGGTGTCTTGGGCCGCATGATTTTACACTTGTCTCCCACTTGTCTCCCACACTTGTCTTCCACACTTGTCTCCCACTCTGGGTGCCTTGGGCTGCATGAGTTTACACTTTTCTCCCACTTGTCTCCCACACTTGTCTCCCACTCTGGGTGTCTTGGGCCGCATGATTTTACATTTGTCTCCCACTTGTCTCCCACACTTGTCTCCCACTCTGGATGTCTGGGAGCGCATGAGTTTACACTTGTCTCCCACTTGTCTCCCACACTTGTCTCCCACACTTGTCTCCCACACTTGTCTCCCACACTTGTCTCCCACTCTTGTTTCCCACACTTGTCTCCCACTCTGGGTTCTTTGGGCTGAGTTTACACTTGTCTCCCACTTGTCTCCCACACTTGTCTCCCACTCTGGGTTCCTTGGTTCGCATGTACAATATAATTGAAAATTTCTACATCTGTTTGGGGTCAACGCTGGTATAATTTTTTTCGAGGTGATTTTTATACAAACAAATAAAAACTATAAGAATATAGCTAAATAGGTTTTTGCTATATGCAAAAAAAATCATCCCTAAACCGAAATCAGCTCAATGGCCTTAGTAAATAATATATATATATATATATACATATTTGATGATATTTGAATGTGGCCACTGGCTGTTGTTGCAGTTTCTGTTTTTTTTTGGACCACGAGAGGTTGCGACACATTTTTGGAACTCGCTTGCTGACCTGCAAGCATTTGAACTTTTCCAATGGTACAGGCTGTTGACAGCTTTGCAAAATGATGACAAGCGACGTGTGGTGCAGCTCTCCTTGACGGGATGCTGAGACTTGACGAAAAATCATTGAGCACAGACACAGACACATTTATTGCATTTTATTGCCATCCATTAAATGAGACGCATGGTGTAAGGATGTGTAAGGATGTGTAAGGTGCATCGGGCAATGAGGATTTTCATGGGAGGAAAGGGTGGAGCTTCCAGGCACCGACATTTTCGGAAGGCTTCCAATTTGCAAAAGTAAGCGTGTGAATTCTGTCACGTCCAATTTTCATGGCGTCTGGTTTGAGGATTCAGATTTTTGAGACGGTGACGACCCCCAGGTCAGGCCGCCACTGAGGCAAATTTGATTACTTTCAGCTCCGCGGTTTTCTGCAACACTTGCCACCTCAACTCCAAGTCCTCCGTAGCCTGGCTGCGTGTGATGTAAGATTTGTCCAAAATTTCAACCGATTGACAGCTTCAAAGCTGCCTGAAGGCATAACACAAAATCCACATGGCTGGTAGCGAGGCTTGGACCTGGGCTTCACGGCTGTGCAACTGGTCGAGTTGGACGCACGGTTGCCGGAACTGCAGGAGCTCTCGCTGCGCATGGTCAAGATGCCTCTGCGCCAGGTGAGAGTGGATTAGTTGGGAGGTTGGCAATGTTGGTGTGAACTCGCAAACTTGTTCAGCTGTTTGTTGAGTCAGTTTCAGCCTTAAATTCCATAAAATTCCTGTATTCGTAGAGTGCCTTTGGCTACGCTTTGAGCCTTTCGAAGCGGTGGTGTGGCTGTAGGGGACCACTGCAGGTGACTCTTCAGCGGAGTATGTTGCCCAAGCTGAGACTCTCGGTGACAAATTCACGCGACTGCAGTTGTTGATCGTAGTTTATTCTGTCGCAGCAGCTGAGGGAACACTGTAATGAACTGTCATGTCGTAGTGAAACCTATTCAAAGATTTGAGGGAAAGCCTGCAACTGGTCTGGGGTGATCCAAAGTTTTGAAGTTCATCCAATCTGTTGGAACCTTTTGGTGTTGGGTTTCATCCGATCCAAGGATCCTTGCACCTTTGGTTGTCCACTCTGCCAGAGCTTGAGGAGTGCACAAAGGTGTCGCAGGGTCGCTGCAAATCCGTTGCAGATGCCTTGCTGTCTCAGAAGTAGCAGACCCCAAGAAATCTCAAGTCAGTGGCCTGCCAACCCCAGGAGCTGCCGTTGGATATCGACATCCTTCGACTCCAAGAGCTCGTTTTGCACGTGCACAACTGCCCCAAGTTGCCGAAAAATACCAAGCGACTTGGCCATATATCTGGTGTTGTTTTTGTTAGTCAAAGTCGATGTCATCCGTGAATATCTCTGAGCATTGCAGAAGGAGAGACATTTGAACAAGTCCAAAGTGTATTGCCTGTGTTGCTGTTCCGGCGCTTCGATTTGAGGCAAGCCCTTTACGACACTGTGCACCCCTGGCCCTGGCACAACGCGGACAAGTGGATTAGTATCGATGAGGCGGAGCCTTCCTGGTTTCAGCTATTCCAACGGGGAGATGCAGTGTATGCAGCTTCTCCAGCTGTCGTCAAATCCACCGAAGCTGCGACAGCGACATTTCAAGATGTGAGCGCGAGCTCAGACATGCCATTTCCCTGCAGCCATGCGAAGTGCACCGAGTTTCATGACAACACTCATGGTTACTGCCAGAAACATCGATGGAGTCCTATTTGGATGAAGGCATCTTGTAGGGTCATCAAGACTTGCCAGTGGCTGGAGTTGATATTCCTTCTCACAATCCAAGCTGCTGCTGAAATTCAGAGCAGACTTTTGCTTGTGCTGATGATATTTTCCTTGCTTCCAGCTACTTGCATTTTCCTGGAGCACAGCACTGGCATGTCAGTCGCATCCGCTTGCGTCACCTGCTTGGTTGTTGCTCTTGGCAGCTGTTTCTATAGCGCCAAACGCTTGGATGCTATGCAGCAAAGCGTTTTCAGGTTGGCAATTGCAACGGAAGCGCATTATTTTCAGGTTCTAGAAGCCCGTGCAAACACGGGGCAACACCTGGTTCAGGTGTCCACCATGCTGGCAAACCATTCAGGTGCCTCATCTAAGGTGCTACAGACGGAAAAAGACTTGAAGACCAATTACTTTCAAGCCAAACGTCACAGAAGCCTCTTTCAGACCTCTGTGAGCGACCCGCTTGCCAGAATTGGGCTGGAAGTTGCTGCGAAGATCAAACCCCTAACAGAGTTGGATGAAAAGGAAGGAGCAGTAGATGTTCTTCATTGTGAAGTCGTGTGTGAGAGCCTTCAGCAGGTGCAGCTTGCATGGGAAGGGTTGAAGAGATTGGATGTGGAGATTGTATCCACCCAGGATTTTTTTGCGGTCACCTCTTCCACAAAGTGCTTGAAAATTGTGGTGTCTCTGCAGGGCTACTTGGCAACAGTCTGTTTGCTCGAGAAATCACTGAGCTCTTTGGAGGCCCAGAGAGGAATTTCTGAAGTAGCAAACTCCCTAGGTCTCTTGGACAAAACCGCTGCAGCAACTTGGGAGGTCGGACTTCAAGGTGTTTCTAGGACACCCAAACGCATATTGGTGGCCACGATCCTCTTGCGGCTTGTTGCGTTTTTGTCATCTCTCCTCATTGCTTTGAAAATTCATTTCATGGGAACCCCCAGATGGTCCGTGTGGAGATTTGCCATGAGCTCGCCTTTCTGGGTATGTTCTGGCATCCTCCTCTGGGAAATGTGCACTTTACAGAATCTACCATGGAACTTCAGAACTCGACTGCGGCCAACACAGGTGTGGTACAGGCATTATTTTGGTGTACAAGGGTGCCACTATGCCTTTAAGGTGGCAGCCTTACAGTTCTTGACAGTTCTGATGCAAGGGATTGCAAAGGCCAGCTTATTTCGCACCATCCAGGATACCTATGGCCCGGAAGTCTTGCAGGGCAACACCGCTGTCCAGTGCTTCATGGTGCTTCTTTTGTGCAACATCATGTTTGCAGCTATGATACTTGCAAGCCCGAATTCCATTGTGTCCCGAGTCGTCGCAGCGTTACTCGATGCAGTTTTAGATGTCGGATACTTGGTGACATCGATATGGATGTATGTGGGCTTTGCTTCAGAATATTTGGAAGACATCTTCTTGCACAGCTTCTGGAATTACATTTCTATTTACATTTGCGCCGCACACGTCTTGTGCGTCTGCAAGTCTTTGGAGACCGCGGATTGGGTCGCACTTTTTCAGGTGCGGGCTGCACCCATTTCGAGAGCCTGGAAGAGGATGCTCTTCGCAATGTTCTACGCTTCTGCTTTGATGGCTTTTGTTGGCATTCTGCTTGGAGGTGTTTTATTGGGCCAAAATCACGGGCTCTGCCCACCGTGCACGTGCTCCACTGTTGCACCAACATCGCTTCTACTTGAAAGGTGCATCATTCCAACGGGCTATGTTGCCTTGGCGGCCGCTGACGTGTTGGAGTTCAACTTGACCCATCGGAACATCACTCAAGTCCTTCCAGATGCATTTCTTGCACGCGGCGTACACAAAAGTGTCCGCTATGTGTCATTACGTGGAAATCATTTGACAGAGTTGCCAGACAGACTCTTTCGTGACCTTCTCCAAGTTGAACATGCGGAACATGAATGGGACATGGAGACTGTGGACCTCAGCCACAACAGGCTGACAGTCCTTCCCCCGAGGATCTTTCAAGCGGGTTCAGTCCGAGAGCTACCGTGGATACATGAATTGCACCTGGAAAGCAACCGCTTGACCACACTTCCAGCTGGAGTCTTTGCAGGTCTCACCGTCAAGCAGCTTTACCTGCAAAGCAACAATTTGACCCAGCTGCATCCTGACAGCTTCAGAGGTCTCAAGTTATTGGATTATGGCATTCTGGATGTGTCCCGAAACAAGTTGCAGACATTGCCCTCAAGAGTCTTTGAAGGTCTCGAAGTCGAGCAGGTGTACCTTCAAGACAATGACCTTACCACGCTTCCAGGTGGAGTCTTTGCAGATCTCACCGTCAAGCAGCTTTACCTGCAAAGCAACAATTTGACCCAGCTGCATCCTGACAGCTTCAGAGGTCTCAAGTTATTGGATTATGGCATTCTGGATGTGTCCCGAAACAAGTTGCAGACATTGCCCTCAAGAGTCTTTGAAGGTCTCGAAGTCGAGCAGGTGTACCTTCAAGACAATGACCTTACCACGCTTCCAGGTGGAGTCTTTGCAGATCTCACCGTCAAGCAGCTTTACCTGCAAAGCAACAATTTGACCCAGCTGCATCCTGACAGCTTCAGAGGTCTCAAGTTATTGGATTATGGCATTCTGGATGTGTCCCGAAACAAGTTGCAGACATTGCCTCCATATGTCTTTGCAGGTCTCTATGTGAAGCAGCTTCACCTGCAAAGCAACAATTTGACTCAGCTGCATGAGACGAGTTTCAGAGGTCTCAAATTTCCCTACAGCAACATCAACAGCATCCTTGACATCTCGCAAAACAAGTTGCAGACAGTGTCCCCATATGTCTTTATTGGTCTCGAAGTGGCGCAGCTGTACCTGCAAAACAACAAGTTGCAGGCGCTGCCTGGGGTCTTCACCTGGGGTCTTGCCTCCTACGACTTAAAGAATTTGCGTGTCCTGAATCTGGCGCACAACGAGTTGTCCGAGGTTCCGCAGTTCGATCGCTTCGACAACCTTCGCTGCCTGAAGCTGGAAGGCAACCGCCTCCAGAGACTCCATCAGAAGACCTTCCGTGGCTGGCATTATGATGATTCTTCTACTTATTTAGACAGGGGCATGCCTCTGGAAGACCTGAACCTGGAGCAGAATCAGTTGACGGAGCTTCACCCAGATTGTTTTGTGTACTATTCGCAGCTCAGGGAGAACTTGTTGGAGCTGAAGCTCGGTGGCAATCGGCTCACTGCACTGCCCGACGGCCTCTTCAATGGCAGGCAGGGCCTCAGCAAGCTCCGCACCCTGCAGCTTCAGAGCAATCGACTGGTGCGGCTTCCGCAGAAGATCTTTCAGACTCTCGGACTTTGTTTCAGCGTTTTGTCGGATTGGAATATCCAAAGGATCCTAGGGGCCCCAGCCGAGCCAAGCCCATAGTGAAACATTCCGGAATTCCGGTTCCCCAAAAGGGATGTCATGCAGAATTTCCCATGAAACGGATCCAGTATGTAGACCATAGAGGGCATAAAGGGCATTGGCACTGCAGTCGGCAATTGCGTCCCTTGAGTATCCGTTCGTAACGATTTGACACTTTGTGTTGGTAAAGATCGACTTGTTGTTTCCAGTTGCTTGTGCCATGTGATGAGTGTCACGATCCCCTACGCAAAGGTCTGTTTTTTTAAGTCGGATATCGAGGGCCATGGTCAAGTCTGAGGAATTTGCCCCGCTTGCAGTCGCTGAATTTGAGCCAGAACAAGTTGGACGAACTGCCTCCGGGTCTTTTCGATGGACTCAACTTGACAATCATCGACTTAAGTCACAACAATCTCACAGTGGTGGATGCCAAACTGTTCCACTTGGAGAACCTCACCACCTTGGATTTGCGTGGGAACCGGTTGACGGACACCACGCGACAGGACTTGGCACGCCTCAAGGTGGAGCTTCATGTGGATTGAGGCCGAGGTCATGGCCGGTGGCTCCGATCTGATCCTTTGGATCTGGCGACGACCTTGGCCGATGTTCATCGACAGTTCACTTAGTGAGAACTCGAGCGGAGATGTCTTGCGTCAAAATGCATGTTTTTATTTTTATTTTTTCGGTGTGTTGCAATTTGATGGAGGGTAAAAAAAGTTTACATTCTGCTAGGTATCCGTTGTCATGCTTTGTCACCCTGCATTTCCGAATGGACGATGCCAAGTTTCAACGGATTCTGGTGACCTCAGGAGGCTCCAGTCTCGCTTAGGCTAAGAGGAGCAATGGGTTTGCGATTTTACCTCAGCTGTAATCTGTAGGAAAAATGCACAATGAACATATGGCATATATGGCATGTCATTTAATCATATTTAATCTATGATTCTATGATGGAAACGACTTGCAACAAGTGCTAGACCGGCAAACTTCATTGCAAAAAAACAAAACGGCTGTAAAAACACGTCCACAGCCATGGCCCGCATTCAAGTCCCAAAGAAGGGCACCTTCAGCTGCAACAGCAGCACCGCAGAAGAGGCTGTGGAATATTTACGGCAAGTGTCATTTGGCCGTTGAGATTGGTCAAACAGTCGATCCATGGGACACTTTGCAAAGATGGGTTGTCAAAGGTTTCTTGAGATCCATGTGTGGAATTTGTGGCAAAAAAAAACAGTTTTTCTGGTTGAACCATTGAAACCATGGCAAGCTTTGCGATTGTCCTTGCAGCACCCAGGTTGGATGAGCCCTGGCACGGCAACGTGCTGCTGTCCTCGGAATCTTGGAGGTGGAAGGTGAGGCGGAAAAAGACCGAGTGCTCAATGGCCCCTCTGGCAATCCAACATGGCTGGGAAATTTGCGAACTAAATGGGCACTTAAAGAAATGGGAAAATCCATCGAAAATCCATCGCTGGGGATTTTTCAGCCATGTTTGAGTGCTGCTTGTGGGAGTTGCTGATACCACTGTCCCGAAAACTTGTGAACCTTGGCACGACATCACGGCAATGTCGGAGGCGATGCTTTTGACCGTCACTTCTTGAAGTTTCAACTGTACATTCTGTTGACCAATCAATGAGTTGGGATATCTTAATCCATCAGAGTTTTGCCAAGTCTGTCAATCAGTGAGACTGGGTCATCGACATGAACAAATAAGTTAGCGAATGGGTCGGCGGCTCACCACTCGGCTTTGGGCTCAAGGTGCTTGAGCCATCATATTTCTTTTCACGATAGGGGATGGTAATCCATTTTCATGGGGGGTTTGTACATGTTTATACCGTATGTGAATGGGATTTTTACATGACTAGCAACTAGTTTTTTATTGTGAGCCATTTACCATCATTTACCAATCCTTTTGATCAGCCACAGATTAAATAGGGGGAGTTCAAGTTCTCAAAATGGAGGTGTTATCATTCAAGGCTTCCAAGTCTTTCTCCTTAGATCCGGCAGTTACGGCTGGCGTTTTGGTTACGGCAAGTATTTCGATTGAATAAATGGCAGTTATGATTCATGATCTGATTTTATTATGATGATCTGATTTCTAACATTTTCTAACTAACTAACTAACTAACCAGATTTACTAACTAACCAGTTGACTAACATTTGGAGAGATGCGGATCTGATTTTTGAAGTTGGGGATCAACACCACTCCCGACATGGGATAACACCAGGATTCACCTGGCAACCATCCCACTTGGAAATGCGGTGCAGCCATGACCTTCCGAAACTTCTGCCGCGGCGTCAGCTGGAGGTGGATGAACTGCATCTAAAATACCCCCAAAAAAAACTGTATCGCTTCCGTGATAAATCAAAGATTTTGGGTTGTAGTTGCGGCCAGATTTTGGTGGAATCATTTTGAATGTGGCAATTGCTGCATCAATTGCACTAGTTTATTTTTGAATCGTCTCACACCACCATGGATTGAGATGACTGATCCACGGATGGCTTACCTTGAAATTGTGTCATTTCTTGAAGAAAAGAGGAAATTGGATGTTCTGTTTTTTTTGGGGGGGAATGGTGTGTATCCAAAGTGTAGGGTTTTAAGCAAAATATCAGCAGCTTCTGCGGAACAGGGCCTGGAACAAGGGTCTCCACTATTCCAGCCATGGGAAACTCATATGCTGAGGATTGTTGATAGATCGTTGCACATGCTGTTGTCAGTATCATTCTCATTATGCTTCATTATTACTATGATCATTGTTCTTCTGCTTCTTCTTCTTCTTCTTCTCACTATGATGATTGTGATACCTTACAGACCTTACATGTTTTTTTTGTATCAATTTTCGCCATCAAAAACAACACCATGGATCAATTGGTCACATTTTGCCCAGGTCCAAAGTTCTTGGTGCCGTGGCGGGCTCTAAGCTTTTGCTGTGCCGCGCTTGGTGAGTTTTCTGGGAAAATGGCCAGGTTTTGAATAGTTCTTTTGGGGAAAATGGAGGGTTTTAGATAGTTTGAATGGAAGAAGTTAACCATCATTAACCATCGTTAGCCATCATTAATCACTATTAATCACCATTAATCACACCATTAATGGCAGAAGTAAGGTTTGAATTCGAAGATTCTCGAACTTTTTCGGGCAGTGGGATGGGTGTTCGCCAAACAAACGTTGGGTCCCAGGTGGGATCTGGTGGATGTCGAAATCGCCGGTATCCACTGGGGACACCCGTATCACGAAAGAGAAGATAGATGTGGGGTCTTGGCAAAAGTTTGGTGAATGTATTCGTTTTGGCAAAACATGAGAGCCCATGTATGTTTGGTGAATGTTTCCGTTTTCAGCATCTTTGATTATCTCTAAATGTAAAAGCCATTAAAAGCCTGCATTCAATTCTCTTCATCTCAGATACAATCTCAGATACTCTCCAGTCATTCAGTGGGGGATTTGGAAAATGCCAAGATGACTGCAACGAGACGCCAGATCTTCCCATCGGAGCAGAGCTCGACTCTAAAGCTTCGCAGCTGAGGTGCAAAGTGACCCCTAGAAGCCACGGGGAAAGTCGCAACACGCACTGCTTTCAGGACGCTTCGCGACCCGCGTACTTTCCGCGCCGAAAGTGATGGTTGATTGGTTGGTCATCTCAAGATATGATGATCATATGATGCACTTGTGATTATATCACAATAATTCACAATATCTTCATGATAGAATTGTGTATAGATCTTTGGATTCATTATACAGCCAGACTTGAGTTATTGTAAGATCTTGTATGTCACAGGAGCCGGGCTTCAAAGATGAGCGAGGCGGCGAGCCATGTAGCGAAGCTTCGAAGCTTCGCCCCGCAAGGATTTGCATCCCAGTGAAGGAATAGTTGATATGTGTATGATGTATTATATATGATATATATATATAATATATGATTATCCTGAAGTAGATAGGTTTATTGGATTTTCAAAGATGTTATCATTTTAGTGGAGGATGTGGGAAATTTCCAGATTCGATCTACTCCAGAGTGACTGATATGTAACTATATGTATATGATTGCTATATGTTTGGTTTAAATAATGTATACACACATCCAATCATATATTTATACCCATCCACATTTATATAATAGATAAAAAAACCCTCTATAAACATAACAACTATTTATGTATAAACCAATATATATATATACAAACACATATATATTATATATATATATTATATATATATATTATAAACCATCTATAAAATCATGTATTAATCCATGGGCAACGGAGGCGTCCCAGAGCTCTTGTCCTTTGCAGCGCTCCGAGTCGCCAGCGTCTTCATCTCCGAGCGTTTCGATCGCAGGATGCGCAGTATGTCATGGGAAAATCCATGAAACAAGTCATTGGGAAAATAGTGGTTTCATGGAAATCTAGTTACTATAATGTTACTATAGTTGAACATAGATTGGATATGGAAATGATGGAAATGATGGACATGATGGAAATGATGGACATGATGGACATGATGGAAATGATGGACATGATGGACATGGACATTAATGGAATGGGAAAATCATAAAATCATCGAAGTAAATGGGGATCAAAATGGGATAATATGAGATATAACATTCGCCAACAGGATGATCCAACAGTTTTCCGACTGGACGAATCGACCTCCCAGAAATCGTGCAGGAGAAATCGTGAAGTGAAATCCTGCATGAAATAAACCCAACAGGAACAAGTGAAATAGAACAACTCAAAAAATATTCAAATCTCTTGAGAGCCCTTTTTCTGGAGATTCTGCTTTTCAAAGATCTTGCAGGTGTCCATTGAATTGCCGTTTTTGCTGATTTATCGCTTTTCAAAGTGAGGCCCAATTTGAAACCCTGTATCTCACCATCCAAGATGGGAATTTATTATGTAGTGTAAATTGGGTTTATCGAAAACCACTGGTGATGTGCTAGTTTCACCTCCATCTATAACACATAGTTACACGCATACATTTTTTATGTTCCTTCTCTACCAATACCTTGAAGGATCTCCAAAAAAATTATATAACGATCCAGCCAACATTGCTGGGGAGTGCCACTCAATTCCCCAGATCAAAGTCCCGAACGTCAAACAACTGAAGATCCCTGCAGTGTTTGTGACGCATCATTGTTGGGTTGAACTCACCGTTTTCATTTTTAGGTTATCCGCACATTTTCTTAGATCATATCCCAATAATTCTTGGTCAATATGTCCATCTTGTGTTGCCAAATCCGAAATCACAGCTACTTGTTGGGCAACATTTTCTTTTTTTTATTTTGGACACACATTCCATTTTTGCCAAGAAATCCGTGGTTTTTTTCGGGGCTCCCCAAGTTTTGCTGAGGACCAACAGCCCGATGGAAGACCTCCGCGAAGAGGTCGAACAAACCATCCCCAAGTCATCACCATAAAAGTAGATATATTTTTATGAGTGCTATATATGCACTATAAATTACATCAACATGTGAGGGGGGTTATTTTTTTGTTTTTCCAACATTACTGTAGTCACTTTTTGAGATGGGGGAAACCTTTCACCAACAAAGTGTTTTTGGGTGACGAAATGACTTGGTCACTTGGTCATTGTGAAAAGGGACACCTCTTCGTCATGATTTTGTTGGGCCTTTCAGCAACTCGTCAAAGTGCTGGGCGGTCATTACAGCAACAAATTGGAGATTACAGTACAAATGTGCAAAAAAAATAACACAGAATGGCAGTTAGAAAAAATCCTGAACTGCTCGCTATTGTTGAGATTTGATCCAACAATAGGGTTGACAAGTCAGTGGCTTCATGATCCAGTTGGATTGGTTTTACCCAACGCAAGGAGGATTTGAGCCACCTGATTGACCACCATGCGGACAGTATCTGGTAGTCATGGGGGTCATGGCACATTCTTTACCCAAGATGTTGAACTCTGGGTACCCGGGGTACAACCACTTGACTCAGCCCCGGCCAGGATGTGGTGTTTGTGGGGAGCGCCTTTGCCTTTAATCGGCAAAGTTTGGCCACTTGCGCCCACCTCTTTCAGGGCCCACCCAGGCGATTTTTCAGTTTTGGGATTTCGATTTCCAGTGGTGATTGGTTCTTCGCAGCCAGTTGCATATGGGATATCCATTTTGATATCCATTTTGATATCAATTTTGGGCAAAATAGGGATATATATGTGTTTTTGCTATGATATCCCATTTGACACAGATGTGATTTTAATATCCCCAGAGGTGGCATCCCGCCGCGTTCCGCCGCGTCCCTTGATTCGGAATACATCGGTGACATGGACGACGTGTTTTTTGTTCCATGACTTATGACACTTGTGACCAATATAAATCCAATGATACTCATATATATATATATATAATAGTATATATATATACACATATATATATATTATATATATACATGTGATGTTATACACCGTAATATTTTGTTACACACACACTGGTGAATCTACAGTAAACAGCTAGGACATAGGTGAAAACACAGCAGCAAAGAGTGCGCCTTTGCCACGTGGCCATGTTGAGACGTTTTTTTTGCGCCCTGCTACCCTTGGCCTATGGAGGTCCCAAAGTGATGATCCACCAATATGGGCGACCTGGGGGGTTTCTTTAAAATGGTGGATCCCCAAAAAAAAGAGTTTCAATACTAAAATGGTCTATTTTTGGATGATTTTTGGATGATTTTAGGATTTCATCACGTTTTCTCGGGCCAATGATTCTCGAGTGATACAAGCAGCCACGTAAGCGACCAGCAAGGCCATGATTGGTAATGTTGCTCAAAGCTATTGGTAACAGAGATCCTACCAATCCTTGAGTGATCTAAGTCTGCAATGGAATATCCTCCTCATTTTTGTGGCTGATTTTTGTTCTTTCTGTTTCATACAAGGAGTTTCCCTTGCATCGACTACACCAATATTTCTGCCATTTTCCGCAGTCAAATCGCCAGTTATATAGTTATCCCCGGTCATCAATGAGGGTTTAGTATTCCAGGTAAGATGGAAAACTAAGACACTGTGGAATGACACTTCCAACCAGAATATCCATGAAAAAGGGACCATTCATGGGTTCATTGTAAAATCCCATTGCTCTTTGAACATTATCTAGCCAGTGACATTAGACGTATCCAATTTCTGGTCACGAAAAGCATGCAACAAAACAAGTTGATGATATAACCCCCACAAGCTCTCACCAAAAAAGTTGAGTAGCAGGTCATACTCCCGTTTACCTTCTGGGAATCAAACATGGCTTGCTGAGAAAATTTTCCCACTTTTAATTTCTAGATGATTTTCAATGCACATTTTTAAGAGATTTCCCAGCTAGTCATGTTTGATGAAACCGGAGGGTATCTTCACCAATTTTCCATTGATATCCCATTCATATCATAATAATATACCATTTATATTTACCAATCTATTTCCATGAAACTATTGTTAATCATCCATCAAAAAAAAATCCCCCTGATATTTCCATTTAACCACTATTCTTGATGGTTCTATAGCCATTTAGTCGTCCATTTTTTCAATGATGGATGATATCCCCCTCCAACAAGTCACATTTAACCACTAAAGCCATGGATTTTTTGGAGGTATCCCATGGACCGAAAGGGAAGCCATTACCCGGTGGTAAACGTTACAAAATCCACGATACATCACCATTTTCCAGTTCGCAAACTGTTAACGTTTACCAGGCCGGGTATGGGGGAACTGTTGGTTCTTTCAATGGCCATATATTCACGGGATCAATAATGGCCGCCAGGTGACATCTGCCGGGAGGAGGACTTCCAGCTTCGAGTTCAGCATGCGCTGCTGGGAGCGTTGCTGGGAGATAGCTTCGCCTGGAACCGAGGTGCCCGATGACAGGGAAATGGATGGAAATGGGCGAATGTCTGGGGAAAACTTGGAAATTGAATGAAATTGATGTTTTTTTCCTTGGGGAATCCTGGAGATTTCGATTTTTTCTGGTGGAAACCTGGAGATCCTGGGAGTTTCTGAGGATTTTTTGTGGATGAAGATTGTTTTCTGGCTGGCTTCTGGATGTATTTAACTGCGATTTGCTTGTATTTTACATGTGCGGATATGATTTTCCAATGAAATGTGACTGCGAAACTGAATAAGGACATGAATCATTACCTGACTATGGCTACACAAATGTGTCTTGGAAACGCTGATTTGTCAAATAGTTTTCAGGGTAGATGTTTTGGGGCTCAATGTGCCAACGATCCTGGAGGGAATGGGAATTCAGTGAACATGGACAGGTGAGGTGAGCCGGCGTAGGCATCAAAAAAAAAATAAAAATGCATCAAAAAAAAATAAAAATGCATCAAAAAAAAAAATACATCAAAAAAAAAATAAAGGACGAAAGGAAGGAAGAAAGGAAGGAAGAAAGGAAGAAAGAAAGGAAGAAAGGAAGGAAGGAAGCAAGGAAAGAAAGGAAAGAAAGGAAGAAAAGAAGAAAGACAGGAAGGAAAGAAGACAGGAAGGAAGACGGAAAGGAAGGAAGGAAGAAAGGAAGAAAGGAAGGAAGAAAGAAAGGAAGAAAGGAAGGAAGGAAGCAAGGAAAGAAAGGAAAGAAAGGAAGAAAAGAAGAAAGACAGGAAGGAAAGAAGACAGGAAGGAAGACGGAAAGGAAGGAAGGAAGAAAGGAAGAAAGGAAGGAAACAAGAAAGGAAGGAAACAAGAAAGGAAGGAAACAAGAAAGGAAGAAAGAAAAAGGAACCAAAGAAGAAAGGAAGGAAGAAAGAAAAGAAGGAAGAAAGGACGGAGACGAGAAAGGAAGGAAACAAGAAAGGAAAGAAATAATGATGTAATATTACATGCAGAAGAGATCATTCAAATTACATGCAGGCATCACCGTAGCAGTTGCGTACTGTTATTTATGTATATGTATATATACATATATATATATGCATTTATATACACACTTATATATTTATATTTAAATATATTTATATTATTTATATTTTCTGTTTACATTTTTATATACATAGTATTTCTATTTATGTTCAAATTCATATATATATATACTTGCATATAGAAATATGTAAATATATACATATACTTATATTTATGCATGTATATATACACTTATATATTTATATATATATATGCATGTATTTATATTTATATATTTATATTTACATATTAATATATATATATATATATGTACTTATATATATATATACACATTCATATGTATATACATATAACTGTATATATATATATATATAAATGAGTATGTATCTACAAGTATATATACTGTATTCCACATGTTTCCAGGGTGCATGTCGTGTAGTCTATACACCTTGAGTATCACATTCAAGCCAGCACCTTGCATGTGAAAATAGGTGTTTCCAATCTGCTTTGGGGGGGAGGCGCTGCGCCCTTGTTTTTGTTTCGACCTAATACCTACATAGGTACATGCATGAGTATTGAGCACATTTATATGCGCCTTCAAGGCTCAAAGAAAGAGGTATAAAGAGTAACCCTGTAGACAAGCACAGACCGGCAACAGGCTGAGTAAAACAAGTGCTGTCATTGGGGAAGACGCCTTAGCTGATCTTGAAGTAGACGCTAGGGCCCCTCTTCAAGTGGTAGCGGAGCAGTGATCCCTCATTGAGGGTGAGCTCCAGGTAGAGCCCAAGAAATGGCAAGCCATGGCTATGATGATGATGACTTCGACATTGTCGATGCAAATGAATGGAACCAATATGACTCTTATGCAATGAGAAGAGCACCCCAGCATACACAGATTCATATGACGCAACAGATGACCACAAAGGTTGCTCCAGCCTATGATGGGCGAACCAGCTTCTTTGCTTTTGAGGATGCAATTGATGATTGGTGTGACATTACGGAGTTAGAACCAGAGAAACGTGGTCCAGCATTGCGCAACAGACTGGAAGGAGATGCTCAACAATACAAGAGGCTATTGGATAGAGAATTACTCAGGGATCCCTATGAAGGAGTGGCTTATTTCAAAAGATTTCTACGACCTCATTTCATCAAAGGTGCCCAGAACGTGTTCTTATACCGTTTCATGCAGTTCATGAAGTTCAACAGAGGAACCATGGATCTTCAGAAGAGGATGACTAGATTTCAACTCACTGGCAATAGACTTATTGAGTCTTGGATGGATTTACTTCCAGAAGTAACAGTGACTAGTCCTGAAGCAATCCTGTTTGTTCAACAACGACGTCAAGAACATGAACGAGATCAACAAGAGAGAGCTGAAGTAGCAGCAGCCTCAGGAACACCCCATGTAGCTGTTCCTTGGACAGATGAACTGGCACTAGCGGCATTCAGACTATTTCAGGAAAATCGTAGAGAAGCACAGCGACAAGCATTCCCACTGGGTGAAAATTTGCTAGCATTGATTTTTGTAAGTCTAGCTGACCTGAGTCAAGATCAGAGAAACACACTCACAAGTATCATGACACATCGTGGACGAACCCTCGATCGATACAGTATTCAAGAACTACGTGACCTGTTTTTGGAAATGTTTTGCACTACCAAAACAGCAGTTGACAATCCATTGATGCAACCCTCCGGCATGGCACAGAGAAGATCTTTCCTCGTACTGGATGAAGGTGAATTAGAAGGAACCGACGGCTATTGGGCCGAAGATGAAGAAGACGGCGCAGAAGGATTCCTGGATGCTTTAGAAGATGTTTTCTGGGTTTATGATGACGCCAACTTCACATGGTATCAGAGAAGGTTCCAAGGCAAATACATCAGACGAGGCAAAGGTAAAGGAAAGAGAAAAGGAAAAGGAAAAGGCAGAGGAGGACGAAGGTTCTTCAAATCAAGAAAAGGAAAAGGCCGAGGAAAAGGAAGAAGAAAAGGCCGTGCTCACATGGTGAGTGAAGAAGGTTATGAAGATGAATGGCAAGAAGATGAATGGAATGAAAACTATGACGGCTATTGGGCCGATGATCAAACCTGGAATGAAGGCTATTGGGCCTATGATGATTCATACTACATGGATGAGTATGGATACTTCCAGAGAAAGGAAAAGGAAAAGGAAAAGGAAAGAAAGGCAAGAAAGGCAAGGATGATGATGGAAAAGGAGGAAAGCCAGGAGATGGAAAAGGCAAGTCGAACTACGTTCAACCTCAGACCACATCAGCTCCTGCCATACAGAATCAACAAACTCAACAAGCTCATTATTCTTCTGCAGCTTCAAGTTCTGGTCATGGTTTCTTTTCATTTGGAACAACTGAACCAGTACGTGTTGATGTTGCAGAGACAGAGCCAGCTCGTGTTGATGTTTTGACATCCACGTATGCAGCACAAGATGAACAACGACGCACTCGTCGTGGAGGACAGAACCAACGTGATGCAAGAGCACAGCAAAACAGGAGAGAAATGAAGAGATTCCCTGTTCTGGTTGGAGAAGTTGGTGCACTACGACAAGGTGTACAACAACGTCCAGCTGTAGTGCCCAGGCAAGTTGGTCTTCAAGAAGGTGAGGCTTCATGGAAGCCATTGGCAGAAGGCACATCATTGTTTTCACATGGATGCTCTACAGAGATAGAGGAACCATCACAGCAGAGTGCTTTTTCATTTCATACTGTACAAACTGATCTGGCATGTGAGAATGGACTAGCTTTTCACACAGAGAATTCTGCACCACCAACTGTGTGTATTCTGGATCTTGGATGCACAAGAGCTATGGGCTCTCGACGAGCAGTTGAAGCATTTTGCAGATATGTTGACTCACATCCCAACAGTGGATTCTGGTATGAAATTCAGCCAACAAGTTCAAGATTCTTCTTTGCAAACTCACAACAATCAAAATGTACTGAGAAGCTCGTGATATTCATGTATGATCATGGATGGAACACTCAGTTTACAGAATTCGACATTGTCGAAGAAGGTGATGTCCCATTGTTGATGTCACTTCCACAGATGAGAAACCTTGGATTTCAATTTTGAACTTACTCCAGAGAAGGCTTATTTGTCCTGTGCACGTATTGGCATGAGAAAAATGGTTTTGAGGACAGCCATTAGTACTCATCTCATTCTCGACCTACAAGATGTAGCATGGTACATGAGCCAAGTTCATTTCAAAACTCCACAAGTCAAAAGTTTCTATTCACAACACGATCACTTTGAGTACAGTCAGATTGCTGTCAAACAAGATGATCATGAAGGAGAAGCTTTGGTGACTGGTGACTACTGGCAGGTTGATCCACTACGTCGTGAACTCATCAGGCACCACAAGGACAAGAGAATGAACTTACATGAGATGACTCGATCAGAGAAACCTCCAATTCCAAAAGATCAACTTCTTGATGAGAGAGAAACCCACATGGAATTCCAGAAGAGCAAGAAGAAGGTTCTTCACAAGGACAACTGGCGCACTGAGAAGAAGAGGTTTTCTGAACAGAGTGAAGAGTTCTGGAAGGGCAAAACCATCTACAAGATCAAGGAGGACTACGTGATCCCAGATGACATTGTCAGAAGTGACATTGATCGTGCAATGCCCTTTCGTGGAAACATTGATGATCTTTTTCACCATGAGTCAGCCTCTTCAGTGCCATCAGGTGTACAGAAGAAGAAGCCAAGCTCCTTAAAGAAGGAGGAAGGCAAATCGATTTCAAAAGGACCAGGCTCGAAAAAGATTGAGGTAGGTCCACCTGCAGCCAAAAGACACGTAGGTAAGCAGAAACCTCAAGTTGTCGATGACTCTCAATCAGGTTCATCAAGAAAGAAGGTTGTTGTCTCCTATCCCAAGCTTGATGAAGAAGATGAGCTTGACAAGGTAGCTAGGGAATTAGGTTTGGACAAAATTGATTCAGATGAACCTCAAGTCATTGAACCAAAACATTCTGCACCTGCGCGCAACCGTGGTAAGCAAGATTCAGAAAGTCAAGTTGAGAAACTAGGTAGTGATGCTCTTGAGCCTAGGCGAGTTTCAATTCCACTGCCTGGTAGTGAAGTGCAAGCCATGACACCAGCATACAGAAAGATGCCCAGGAAACTGGAGGATAGTGTGGAACTTTACAAGCTTCATATCAAACACTATCACATGTCTCCTACTCAATTCAGACGAAGGACTTCCATGTTAGGACTTCCTGACTCTGTCTATCAGAAGTATGAGGAGATGTACAACAAGTGTCGTGTGTGTAGTACTTCCATTGCACCACCGCCGCGAGCCAAAATTTCAGGCATACGATCCACCAACTTTGGAGATGTTATCTTTGTTGATCATGCTGAAATTCAGTTGAGGAAGAACAAGTACATGGTGTTGCTTGTTCTTGATGGTGCAACCA